CTATTTTTTTAGAAAAATATTTAAAAAAACGATTTGAGATATTTTGATAAAATTAGGATAATTAATGAAAAATTTTAATTTAAATTAAAATTGAATTTTATCTCTCTCTTTCTGTTTGGAAAAGAGATTTTTGTGTATATAGAGATAACAGGGATATCATGAATTCAAAAGAAAATCAATATTACGGTTATTGAAAATTCGATATTAATTTTGAATATCTTGTATATTTAAAAAATCGATTCATCGAAATTAAAGTACAGCGGATGTTCGTATGTAGAATAAATGTATAGAAATATGAAAATTTTTAATTCTCATAAAATTTTTTCTAATAATATTATAAAACATCGAATTAATAAAATTATTTTAAAATATTTTTTTTTTGTAAATGGACTTAAATACAATGTTTTCTTATGTTTAAATTTTAAAATGAAAGAATATCATTTTTGAATAAATTATGCTATAAAAATTGTGACACATTAATAATAATAAATAATTAATTAATTTTTTTGAGAATAATATTGTGAAAGTCTAGAAAAAGAAAAAATATTTTTTTAAATATTTAAAATAAAGCGATGTTTTTTAATTATAGAAAAAAAAGAGCACACACATAAAAAAATTTTTATTTTTTGTTTATAATTTTTTAAATTTGCTTGTATTTTATTAAAATAATTAAATTTAGTTTTAATTTTTATATTATTTTAATTTATTAGTTGTTTTATTTGTTGTTTTTCATTTGTTATTTAAAAATTTGTTATGCATTTTAATTTATGATGTTTTGTTTTTTGTTTTTTTTTTTTCGAATTTTCATTTTTATATCGTAAATTTAATGTAATTTTATAATGTAATTTAAAATTTTTAAATTATTATTTTGTTTTCCCACTAGTGCATTAATATGTAAATAAATTAATTAAAATACTTATATAGGAAATGTAAATATATTATATATATATATATATATATAAATTTTTATATACGTGTATAATATTTGATATTATTTTATATATATATATTCTATATTTTAATATAAGAAAAATTTATTATAAATATACAAATTATATTATAAATATTAATTTATTAGTAATTGTAGAATAAAAGCATAATATAGGCAGGTGATATTTTAAATATATATTATTGTGTTATATATATATATATCATTTTATAATATATACATATATACATATATAATATTTTGAATTTGTAAGCGCCTTTTATTTTTATTTATAATATGTAATTATATAAATGCATATGTAATTTGAAAAAACATTTATTTAAGACAGAAAAATATCATTTAATTTTTGTTTTTGTAACTTTTATTAAAATATTAGATTTTGTGTTTTAATATTTTTTTTTTGTTTTTTTTTTCATGTTTTTTAATATGATGGAAAAATTTTTTTTTTTGGACAATTAAAAAGCGACACATAATTAAAAAAATTAAGTATATAAATTTCATAATTATACATATATTATGTATGTAATATATAGAGAGTAAATTCAAAAATTTGGGAGAAAAATTAATTACAAAATATAGAAGAAATTCAAGTAATTAATTAATTATATTTAAATATAAATGTTTTAATTTTAATATTTTTTGTGTTTTTGATTAATGATGAGTTGTTTAAAATTTTTTTTTTTGAAATTATTAAAAACGTACTTTTGACTGTTTCATTCTATTTTTGATTATCCATTTTTCAGGAAATAATCAACAAATTTCAGATCTTTCTTTATTCCCGATTTATCAATTTTATGTAAGGTTTTTTTTTCTTTATTAATTTTGTTTGTTCTTTATACTTCTGTCGTATATACTTTTTGTTTTTAAGTTAATGATTACTTAAATATATAAATATATTAAAAATGTGTTGAAATTATATAATATAAAAGCTCTCTAACATGGGTCTTCGTTTTTTATGTATGCAGTTCATGTTTCATTTCATAGAGAGGTGTTAATTTTACAATACAAAATGTTTGTCGCTTCGTAAATAAATAAGGTGTATGATTTTTTTTTTTTTTTGAATTTCGAATTTTTTCGAAGTTCGAATTTTTTTTCGAATTTCGAATTTTTTTTTCGAAATTAAATTTTATTTTCGAATTTTTGCGAATTTTAAATTTATATAATAGAAATGTGTGAATTTCCAAATGTTATGAATTGTTTTTTTTTTTTTGGAATTAAATTAAATATAATTTATGTGAAATAGAAATTTATACGACACTTAGGTGTTATAATTTGTTTTGTTGCTTTTTTACAATTTGTTTTTTTATGTTTTATGTTTAAAATGAATAATGAATTAATTAATTTGAATATAATGGTGTTCAAGCAATTGTTATTTTTTATATAATTTGTATTATTGTAAATTTATTAACTGGATAAATTTTAAGTTTTTGTTTTTTTAATTTATGTCTAATAATAGAATCTAATGTCTAATTGGAGAAATTATAAAGAAAAAAATTAAAATATAAAAATGAATTAATAATAAAAAAAAGAAAAAAATAATTGTTTTACTTTTAAATGTTTTTTGAAATTTTGTTGGAAAATTTGGTAATTTTTTGTTTTTTGTTTTGCAATGGAGAGCCGACTTTATTGATTAATTAATTTATTTATGATTTTTAAAATTTTAATAAAATTGTTATATTTTGTTTCTTTTCTTTTAAATTTTTATTTTTAATTAATTAATATTTGGAACAAAAGTAAATACATGAAAAATAATTAAATAATATAGAATTTTAAAGAAATATTGCATGTGTTAATAATAATTGATAAAATTATACAATAATAAATAAATTATGAATATTATTATTAATAATTCTCATATTGATTATTTATAGTAGTTATTAGATTATTACTATAGTTATATTTCTATATATTATTAATAAATATTAGAAATATTAAATTTTATTTAATATTATTTTTTTTTCTTTATAAGAAATTTTGAAATTCAATCAAATACATATTTTAATTTTTTTCTTAATTTTTCAATAAAATGAAGCAAAAATAATTTTACATTGAAATAAAATGAAAAAAAAAAATTATTTTAATTACTTTACATTGTAAAAATTTAATTAAATTTTTAAATATCTTTTATACGAATACTTTTTGTTACAGTTATATATTTTTGTATACATATACATCATATGTATATACAAATCTTTTATACAATTATTATTTTATCTTTTTATGTATTATAATTATTTTTAAAATTTAACAAGTATTATATATAATATGTTTTGTTAATAGAATTTAATATTATAATATTTTTTAAATATAATAAATATATATATATATATATTTACATAATATATGATATTTAATAATAAAAATACATAAATATTATATAAAATTCCCTACACAATTCATTAATTTTTACCATTTTACTTATTCGTTTCAAAATTTAAAATCAAAAAGTATTATAATTATAAATATTTAAAGAGCTGTGATTTTTTTGTAATATTTGAAATATTTTAATCAAATTCATTATGAAAATATGATTTTATTGTTTTCTTGATTGATATTTGATTGTGTAACTCAATACACAAAAATATAAAATTGAAATTATTCTTGGAAATTATTTACGTTGTATTTTATTTGCATTTTTGTAGCTCTTCAATTGATTTTTTCCTTTTATTAATATCATTTTTCATTATTAATTATATAAATTAATTATATTTGTCCTTTCTCTATATTTTTTTCTCATATATGTTTGTATATATATATGAATATTTATGTAAATGTATTTTTTTTTATAATTTATATTACATTTTGTTTTCTCATTTGTGATTTTGTTTCCATACAATTTACAAATTAAAATTTATAGTATCATGGTCCCTATAGAAAGTTATAACATAGTATATATAAAAAATTTTAAAGAATATAAAAAAGAAAATAATTAAAAAATTGAAAACAAAGAATTATTAAAAAAATCACACTATAAAAATAATTAATAATTAATAATTTTTCTTGTCATTATATGAAAATAAAAAATATTTTTAAAATATTTTCCATTTTCCTTCAATTTTATTTTCAAATATACAATAAATATTTCGAATTTGGATTTATACAATAGTATATATAGAATAATTTATTGGAAATACAACAATTAATTAATTTTGAAAATTATATAAAAAAAAAAATAAAAAAGAAAGAGATGACAATAAAAATAAAGACGCTTGTATTAAGAATTTTTTTTTTACTTTTTTTTTTAATTTTTCTTTTGTTTTAATTCCATATTTTATCATATTTTATTTATATTAATGTTTTTAAGAGTAAAATTTAAGGCAGATTCATGATATAAAATATTTTTAAAATTAAAAAGAAATTTTATAAAAATTAAATACTATTTTAAGAGGAAATCAAAATAATGTTAAAATTAAAATAATAATTTTTTTATGCGCGTTTCTTAAATCGTATTTGTTTTATTTTTAAAAATAAATTTTGCCGATTGACAGTGTTAGTAATGAAATTTTTAAATTTTAAAGGTTTATAAAATGTTTTCATAAATTAAATGAATAAGGAAGAATGAAATTAAAAATTTAGCCTCTAAGTATTTCTCTATTTCATTAAGAATTTATATTGCATAAAATAAGGCGTTAAAGTTGATCGAAAAATTGACGATAAATATTTGGTATTTTTTTTTTTTTTTGGTTTTTCTTTTAATAGTACCTATTTTTATAACATTTATTTATGTGGGCACTTAATAGCACATTTTTCCAATTTGAAAATTTTTTAATAAAGAAATTTGACTCTTATTTTTGTTTTGAAATAAAATATTTTTAAAATAAATTATTTTATTGGATATTTTTAGGGGTAGTCAATAAATTTCAGTTTACTTTTAACTGAATTCATGCAAAATTTAAATATTCTCAAAATATTTTCACGTGAAATAAAAAAAAAATGAATTTGTAAAAGAAATTTCAAATATTTCTTTGTTATTTCTTTAAGACCGAAAATTAAAGTGAGTCTAAATTGAATAAAAAATTATTTTGAAAGAAATTATGGCTTTATCTTGAAGTGGAATCAAGAGAAATTATGGCTAATATTTTAATTATGCGAAGTTTTTATAATTTCATTTAATTAATTTTTTGTGTTTTTGATTTTTAATAATTTTCTTAATTTTTTATAAAAGTAGGTTTGTTTTAATATTCGATTTATTGTTTATTTTAATTTATTTTTATATATTTATAATTTTTATTAAACTTTTAAATTTAAATTTTTTTTTGCTTCTAAATATATCACTAGAAATGCTTTTTTTTTGTTTTGGTTTTTAAAATGTGTAGAGGCATTTAATTTTATCAATTTATTTAATATTTTTTTTTTAAATTTTCTTTGAATGCATGCTTAATGGCTTCTTATAGATTTTATTTTCAATTTCTTTACAGTTTTTAATTTATATATAATAATTTTTGAATGATTGCTATTATTTAAGATGACAATATAATTTTTAATTTAAAAATATTTCAATTTTAAGAAAATTATTTTTTTTTTAAGAAATTAATTTAATTTGTTGCTTTTATATTTACTGTTATATTGAATATTTTTTCTTTGTTTATCTGAAAATGTTATAAATTACCAATAATATTATTAATGTCCTTCTGAATTGTTTTCATAAAAAAAAATTAAAAATTATTTTATTATTTTTTTTTTGTATGCGCGCTTTATTTTTTCTACCGATTAAATTATATCTAAAAAAAATCTATTGAAATTAAATGAGAAAAACAAAAAATTATTAAAATTTTAAAAATAATGATAATTTTTACAAATGAAATGTTATATATGAAATTATTGCAAATAATTATAAAAAAATTTTGGAAAATTTAAAAAATTTATTATTTTCGTTTTCAATTTATTTATGATTTTAAATTTAAAATTTTTATTTAAAAAAAAAAAAAAAGAGAGAAAGCTTATATTTATAAAATTTAAATTAAATTAAAATTAAAAATTTTTTTTTATATTAATTTATTTTTTTTTAAATATATTTTATATTTAATTTAAATATCGGTATGATTACTAGTTGTTTTTCCTGTTGGTTCAATTATTTCAACTGTAACACTTTCAGCTGCTGGATTTGGTGTTACATGTGTTATCAGTGGTGTTTGTTGATTTGATTGTTGTGAATTTTTACGATTACCATGATGATGGTGTGGATGATGCCCTTTTATTGAACCAGCAGTTGTTGAATCACAACGTGAACGAATTGATGCAACAGAACCGTTACTGTTGCTATTACGGGATGCTATACATATTTTATGATTGTCATTGAAATGTCAATTTGAGTTGATATTATGTGATTGTTAATTCGATTATAAAATTAGAGAGAATACATTTTGAAAAAAAGAAGAAAAATATTTATTTTAATAATGTTATTTAAGAAAATTAAAATTTTTTTGAAAAATATTAATTTTGAAGCTATTTTTTAATTTTTCTAATAAAATTTATTTCTTTTTTTTTGTTTTCAAACTCTTTGTTCTAAAGAAAAGCATAACATTTACTAATTATTGCAATTATTGTTTACTTTATATTTTTTTTGCTACAGATTCAATAATAAATTCAGTTTTCTTTGAAATTTTAATATAGTTAGATAAGAAAGTGTTGAATTTAATATTTTATCACCTTATGGTGTACGTATGTACACCAAGTAATGTATTATGATGTGGCACTAACATGTATGATAGTACTTAAAAACTTATAAGACAAACAGTATGTATGATTATTTAGTAATTTACTAATAAAATAATATTATTTAGTAATTGATTAGTAATTTTTACTAATGTTCAATGGAATACTAATATTGAACTAGTATATGTATATTATGTATGATTAGCAACATTTTAGCACATGTATGATAAATAGTAAACGAAGCTTGTACCCATACATACATGTCAATATTCGATGATACATGAATAATAATAACTAATTAATAGCTGCACATGCATCATAAGCAGTATACTCGGTTTATATTATTTCACACTAATGTATGATGACATACCAATAAAATTTATTCAATTACTATAATCATTACCATACTGTATTATAATCATACATCTACTGTATAATCATGCTCATGTATAATCCACAAATATTGTATAAGAGTATGTGTGTGATTAGTAAGATATATGGTAATTTATAAATACTACTGCATGATCATACACTAATAATACATATTAAGAACATGTATGATTAGTAAAACACATGGCTAGCAGAACAACACACTAATCGTATGTTTGCATGATTAGTAGTATAAAAAATAAGCATTCAATTATTAATTTAACAAAATTTACAAAATGTTATTAGATTTTTACGAATAAAGAAATTTAATAATAATTCATTAGATTGAATTCCACCTGGTGGAAAATATGAGAATGAATTTTTGTTTCTTACAGGAAAAACTCAATTTGCTGAATTCATTATATATATATATATGATAAGGGCAATTGTCAAAATTTATAACTATTTGTGACTGGTTGTAATTTGTTTGATGATTTTGATTGATTATTGTGTTTCGCTATTTTGTATTACTATTGTTATACTATTGTTACTATTGTTATTTGATATTTGTACGAGTATTTAGAAAATAAATTTTAAATTTAAAACTGAATTTATTATTGTATGTTGTTGTTTTTTTCTTGGAAAAACAAATTTTAACCAAAAATTTTCTATTCTACGTTCAAATTTTACAAAAATTTTTATTCTCTTGTCTGCATTAAATTTAGCATGGAGTATAGAATATATTTTATTTTATTTTTTTTAATAATTTTCAATTATTTTTAATAATATTTACACTATAATGAATGAATATATTTTTGTGCACATAAATCATAATATAACTATAACTAAAGCATTTTTTGTAATCCAATAACATAAAATATAACAAAGATTATAAATGAAAAACTCAATAAAATTTTTACTGAAAAACGTTTTCTAAACAATTTTTTTTTTCTCATGAAAATCTACAAAACAATTTTGAAACAAAAAAAAAAAAACTTTTTTAATTTGTATATGTTTTTTTTTTCATTTAAAAACGAATATGAACAAACTAATATAAGAATAAACGCACACGATAAAACTCATATAAATTGTATAACAGCTTTAATATCATACGAAAAATTTGTTGAATGAGAAAAACTATATAAGATTGTAGATGCTTTATAATAGATTTTTAATTATATATTTTTTTTCTATATTGTATATATTATGTGGTGGTGTATATAACATTATGCAAGTTGAAGATGGATCTATAGAAATGTATTTATAAATGCACATATCATAATAATATTATGTATATAATATATATAGTAGGTGAGTATATAATATACATACAACTTTTGATACTACAATTGATATAACAAGTCATACAATTTTAGTTTTTTTTTTGTTTATACATAGCTATTTTCTAGATATAGTATAGAGAAGTATTATGTGCTATTAAATTAAGTATTTTGTATATATTATTATAGTATAAAATTAACAGAAACCAAACAATTATTTAACATGTTATTAATATAAAAAATCAAATATTTTTTGTTGTAACTGTTTATGTTGTATATTATATAATAAAAAAAATTAAATTGTCTTAAAATAATCCAACTTAAATAATTTTAATCTTTTTTTTTCAAAACGGTAGTTTGTAGAGTAGATAGAAGATTTTCAAGTGAAACATTTGAATTATTGCATATATTCAGGATGAGAATAAAATTAAAAAGATATTACGAATTGATGCGTTGATAGTCGGCGTGGCGTACTGACGTACAGAATAAAACTAAAAAGATATTACAAATTGATGCGTTGATAGTCGGCGTTAAAAAGGGCAGAGTTTTCTATTTTATAGATAACGTGCTAAATGTCCTTTATATTACATAAATTAAAATATAACAAAATTCACAACAATAATTAAGTACTAGTGTTGATAGAAAAAAGTTGTCAGTCGTTGCTGCAATTATGTTATTACAACCAAGATGAGGACGTCTCTTCCTCACAGCACTACACTAAATTATTCTTTTTTAGTAGATTTTATTTTATTATTGAATAAAGCTTTGATTTTTTCAGTTCAATTTAACCTATAACAAGTGTTACAAGAGAAGTGCCTTGTTAGTCAGTGCTTTTTTAAAGGTTTTAGTAATTGACCAGAAAAATAAAAGTTTAAAACTTAATGTTTATTATATACAATAAATTTATAAAGAAGTTAAGGGATCGAAATCAGAATATCGAAGTAGAATCTGTTTCTATACCTGCAAAAGGTAATTATAAAGGTAGATATTATTGAAAATAACTGTTTTGCTTATAACTATATAAGTGGAAAAATTGACTACAATAATAATTTAATTGATTAATTAGCCTAATTGAAATGCCAAAATATTTTGTTACAAGAACTAATTTAAATATCGAACAAATTGTAACAAAATGTTCTAATAAAACATTACAACAAAAACTATAATTCATTATTAGTTGGATTATTTTAAGTTTGGTGTTTGAAAAGAAAGAAAGTAAGGGAAAATAGAAACAAAAAATAAAAACAATTAAAAAAAAAATAAATAAACGTTTTTAAGTAATATTGTTCAACTGGGCAAAATGTTCGATGTAGTTGAATCAAACTGTTTTATTTACTCAACTTTATTGAACATTTCATATTATAATCACAATCTTGATCCAATATTATTACAAAGTAAGAATAGTGTGTTTTTAATACATATAAATAAAGATTTGTGTAGGCACGTGTATATGTAGTATTCCAAAAAAATTTTCAATAATTATAGAAGAATGCTTGTATAATAGTGTTTGTTGTATAATTGACATGTTCTTTTGGTATGATTGAAGATTTATTAATTGTGTTTGTTTTGGTTTAAGATTATATAGATCTGAAGCAGAAACACAAGTTCTCGTATTTTTTTATGTTTTTAAAATCATATGTGTTTGAAATAAATTTATGAGAGTCATATAAAGTAATTAAGTTCAAACATAGGGAGAAGAACTACTATATAGATAATTTGAGCTACTATATTAAATAGATATAATAACAATAATAACAAGTCTAAAAATTTTTACATATAATTAAGAACGATTGTTTTTTGTAGGACAATAAAAATCATCAACTCAACGAAATATCAATTAAGAAGATAAAGACGCATAAACGAACAAATAATTTCACTATTTAAAGATATACAATAAAGTATATAGTTTTGTATATATGTAAGTGTAAAATAGCATAATAGTAATTAATATTAATGTTATTTTAATAAAATTGTAAGATTGAAAATTAGTGTAATTCTCTTTTCAATATAATAATAATTACATATGTAACAGAAAAACAAACGCAATTTATTGTAGAGGTTAGAGTTAGTTAAGCAAAGTATTTGAATATATTAGTAAATTTTTTAATACATATACCTTATTTTTATTTATTAAAGAAATTGCAGATTTATGATCAAAAAATTTAATAATTGAATTTTGATAACATGAATATTAAGAATTTTCATTGTGAATGAATTGTTCTTTTTCAATTTTAAAATTTTGTTTTATGGGATGTTGCTGATGTTGCTGACGGTGATATACTACCAGCTGTCGCACTAGTTGATGGTTGATTATTTATATTACTATTATTATTATTATTGTAATTTTGACTATTCGATGATGAACTTGATGCCGATTTTGGTGGCGGTTGTTGAGATTGTGGTTGTTGTGGATGAATTTGTGGATAATCTATTGAACTGAAATTACCAGATTTTTCGCTGGTACGTGAATCATTTGATCTTGTATTACTTTTTGAACGTGTCATTCGGCCTATAATAAAATTTGTTTGTTTTTCTATTGATTTTGATTTTTTTCTACATACACATTTTTTTTTTATTGTATATATATCATATTATTATATATATATATATATATGAATATATATATAAAATTAAATAAGAAGAATATAAAAAAAAAGAAAATAATCGAAATATATTTTATTAGAGAAAAATGATTAAGAGAATTAGAAAAGAATTAGAATATTTTTGTTTTTAAAGAAGATAAATAAATTTTTGACATTTTATAAATGTATGTATGCAAATATTATAGATATAGAATAAAGGAGGAGATAGAATTAAATTAAAATGAAGATTTTACGGAAAAAATTAGATATTTTTAATTTTATAATTACTTAAATTTATTTAAAATATTTTGATTATTATATTTTAATTAAGAAATGAAAATGATTGATAATATTGAAGAATGTGGCGAATAAATTACCCCCAAAAATCAATTCATATTTTGTTATTCATATATCAGAAAATTTTATACCAGCATATTCAGTATCGAGTATCATAAGATTACTATTTCAAACAATTTTAGGTTTTCTAGATCTTTTAAAAAATTTTATTGCTCACTACTATTCAATATGTTGTTCTTTAAAACTTGTTCACTACCGATTTATTATAAGTTTTTTATAATGATTTTTCCGTAGAAATTTCAAAATTGAGCCGTTTGATGGTGCTTTTTTTTTGTTAAAAGAACGTTATTAAGTCAAGCTTTTAAGATTTTAGCACATTTCCAATAGGTTTTCTTTCATTTAGTACAACAAGTGGTCGTGTTCTCACAATCTGGTGCAACAAAATATACAATTATCTCTGTATAGATGTATCGGAAATATTGCTATAAAACTAATTTATGTTTTTGCTCTTAGATAAGAATCGTCATAGGGTCATCGTCTAAGTAATGTAAGAAAGTATAATTCAATGTGCTTCAAAAATTCAATTAAATGCAACGAAAACGTTACTTTTTTGCCAAACTCATTAATAAACTAAATTTCCAAATAAAATTTTCAACTATGATTTGCATACTTTTAGGAAACTGTACGTTTTCTTCCGTATTTTGGGTATATAAGTATAAAATGTCAATATTAGATAGTCAAATTATCCAAGATAAAACTTAAAAGCATAATGTCAAGATAGTTAACATTATCCTTTTAAGTTTTTATTTATTGAAAATTTCGTACCATAATCTCTTTTATAAATTTCCATTATATTCAACGAATTTTTTGCATATTTTCAGAAAGTTTATAAGTTTTAAATTAAGTTAAAGAAAAAGAGAAAACAAAAATTATGTTTCTTAGGTACGTGATATCCTTTTTTTACTCATATATTTAAAAATTCAATAAAGTAGTAAATAAAAATCAAAAAGAGTAGCGAAAAGGAACAAAAAACTTAACTTTAACTTTTTGCATTAAAATAAAAATTTTCTTTAGAAAACATTTCTTTTCTGCTCTTGTAATATGGTAAAATTTTGAATAGAAGTGTAAGGTATGTAAGAAAAAAAAATTGTTTTTAAACTTGAATATTTTTTTTTCTGCATTTCAATGTTATTTTGTTCGAATGCTATATAAATTGGGATTTCGAGAAAGAAGGAAAGAAAATGAAATATTTATTCAACTAAGTTGCAAAATTTCCTTAATTTTCTTGGATTAAAATTGGGATTTGACGTAAAATGCACCTGCAATAAATATTTCGGAGTATGCATTAACTATAGTAATTAAAAATTCTGAGATGTGTCAGAACTTTTAGGGACAATTTTAAAAATAAGTGAAACAACACGATTAAAATTTCAATTTTGATTATGCAATTTGACTAAAAAATTAAGCTGTAGAAGGTTTAAAAATAAGTAAGAGTTCAAGATCGATTTACGGATTAAATAGTGTATAAAGTGGGTGTTTTTTAAAGATGTTATTGAACATTGTTTTTCAAGGCAGATTTTCAATGTTTTTCTGACCTTTCTAAGGATACTTTCGGGATCTGCCACCTCTTGTTATCGAGCAACAAAAGAGTTTTTGAACAAAAGTTTTCTAACAAATTTTTTTGTTTGAGCAAAACTTTGGGCCTTTTTTAAAGACATGTTGTACAACCACATACGGCGATCTTTTTTTACATTTTTAGGGTGTGGTATTCCGGTTAAATTTGCATTAAAAATTCTGGTTCCAGTAACTCAATTATGGTCTTTTACAATACCGATCTGGAGGTAGTAACAATAGGGCTCATAGAAGAATTGTTCAAGTGTTCAAATTCGAAAACATGTTAACTTTTGTTCCTGAATAATTTACATTAATTTTTTTTTTAATTTGTATGCAGTGAGTGCAATTTTTTGGTAATTTTTGCTATACTATGTACAATTTGCTTTTTTGTTTCTATTGTTTTATTTTATAATACGACATTTGTATATTTTTCATTTCAGGATTTTCTCTCTAAATTTTGCTTTAATATTATTCTCTATAATATGAGTATATACCTATTTGCAGAAAATATAAAATTGCAAATTCATATTTCTTGTTTATTATTGCATTTTTTTGTTTTCAAACTCATTTCTTGCATCTGCAATAATCGTGTTTTTTTTTGTTGCTATTTTAGAACTACCAAAAATAAAAAAATAATTTTTTTAACATACCCATATTATGTATATCTTATGTATACTTGTAAATATACCTCATTTTTTTAAATAAAATAAATGAATATTTGAGTAAAAACATTGTATAGTTTACGTAGAGACTTATATAGAAGAGTAGAAATTGTGATGATTGTATCTAATGATGTTAACATCGCCTGTTATATTTATAAAAATTTTATTATTTCATTCATAAGTATGTGATACTTTTCTATCATGTAATATATGATTCTCAATTATACTATTTTCAACGCTTAATTTCTTTTGATTATTATGAAATACTCGGATAGCTGACGACAATATTATACGTAAACCGATTGTATAATTATTTTCATATATGTTTGTATGCAGGTAAGATGAAAATGTCGATGAAAAGGTTGAAAATTCATGAAAATAATAAATGAGAGAGAAAGATCTCATTAGTTTTAACATTTCTAAAAAGTTATTAAATTCGTTTTGTTTTAATTTTCTTTATTATTCATGTTCATTTGTGAGAAAGGTTTAAAGTTAAATAAAAAGTAAAAATTTTATAAACAATAAAAAACCATATTAAAAAATAACATTATTGTATAAGTATTTAGATATTATGGTATATTTTTAAAAATTGCATATTTATAGGGTTCGTGAAATCGCGATCTTTAATACTATTATATCGCTTCTGTTTGTCATTAGACAAACGAAATGAAAGCAACTGAAAATAGGCAATTGAATGGTAAATTTTCAAAACTCCAAATTTAAGAAGACTGCAATAAAACTGATTTTTAATCAATTATTTAGTAAAATGCTCGATTATTATATAGTTACTCCAACACAATCCTAATGAACAAGCAAAAAGATTGTAATGAATATTCGCGTATTTTCATTTTTACGACACTCCATTTTTTGATAGTATTATACAGTAGGTACAACATAAACATGTCGTACATGTACTGAAGTCAATTAAATATTTTCTATTATAATTATTTTCTTATAAAAATTCGAGTTAAAGTCTTAACTTGTCTATATTGTACGAAATAAAATTCACTTATAAAAAAACTGTGTTTGAAAATATTTAAATGATTTAGTTTACAATTTATAAAAGTTCAATACATAATATTATACACATAACTTTACAGTAATTTTATACAATTGAATCATGACTGTCTAAAGCGGCAACAATTAGTAAAAAATGGCAACCTTTAATATTTTACAATCTTAAAGAATGAACAATGTTTTTCAATTAACTTTTATAAGAATAAGAAAATTTCAAACAAAATTTTTATTTTAAAATTTTCAAGCAATTCCTTTCAAATTAAAATCTGATTAAATGTCAAAGCATTCACTCTTACATTCTTTTTGAAATACTTTTAGCTATTTTTAAAGATCTTTAATGATTGTAAGTATTATATGCGTAGTAAGCAATGCTTTACATAATTTAATTTTCAGCTTGCAGTTAAAATTCATGCCATATAACATAGCTACCAAAACTTTTTTGCATTTTTGGAATTTCGCATTATTTTACCTTATGTCAGTACGTTTTTAAAACTTATTTAAAATCAGCTCTATATTAGAAATACATAGTATATATTTCTATAACAGATATTTAAGTAAAGGCTGGCCAAGACCGCAATACTTCAATTTAAAATTTTTAGAAATAATTTTGTCCAAATTGGCAGTAAATATTGTTAAATAATATTCGATTAAAATATAGAATGATTTTCCATTGTATGGCACATGGTTGTATTAATAATTTTAAACGGAATTTAAGGATAATTTCTAAATTCGCTTTTAAAAGTGAATGGCAGTCATCTGAGCCTATCAAACTGTTCTGACGGAACTTCTAAGATGGGCTACAATTGGACACATTAAACTATTTAATTAAAGATAAATATTTAAAGCTATAGTTTTTAGGGTTGTACGGTAACTTTTAAAACGAGAACAGCCAATAGCAGGCACCTTTGACAGAAAGAAAAAAACTTCTGCGTAAGAATATGTTCTGGTCCCTTAAGTGTCTACAAACTCCATCCCAAAATTAATATTTCATAATTTAATTTGTGATTTAAAACTTCTACTGTATATAAAGCTGTTTTTAGTTAATTTTGTCAGCAGATTCAAGTTCAAGCATTCTAGTAAATTTAAAATTAAGTGCTGTTCAAATATTAACGTTTTAAGCGTATTTCAGCAATTTTCACAAAGAGAAGGTTACAAAAAAACTAAAGCTTAATTTTCACTTTTGATAAAAAATAAAAAAAACCAAATAAAAAAAAACATCTTTTCCATTTGTCCTAAGTGTACTTTTCTCTACGGTTTGCATTTAAATTTTTCTAAGCCTTAAAACACTTTAAACCCTTCTTTAAATTTTAATTTTAAAAAATTAACAATTTTTTGAAACGAAAAGAATGCAACACTCAGCAAAAATTCTTTTAAGAAAACCTTTTACTTTTCAATCAATAAAATCAAATCTTTTTATATGTATATTTGTATGTATAATATAGATAAACAAAAATCTATATAAATTTATTCAAAATACCCGACTAAACAAAGCAAACATTTAATTATTTAAAAAAAAAAAAAAAACAAACAATAATCAATAAATTTTAACTAATAATAAAAAAAATCATAGTTAAAAAAAAAATAATTAAAACAAAACAAGAAAACGAAAAAAAGAATACGTTTTTCTTTTTCTCTTTTTTTCTTTCGAATAACAAAACGAAAAGTTTATACAAACCCAGGACAACTGAAACGACATTAAATTAATGTGCAATGCGATGAGTACTGTACCTCTCTTACCTAATGACGGATTAGGTGAATGTGGTCTTAATGATGCCATACTAGGTTGACGTGATGGCCCTCTAACCGACATTCTGGAACCACGTCGTTCCTGTCCATGTAATAGTTTACTTTCACGCAATAACGATACATTCATTAAACGTGGATTTGGTGTATTAAATATTGTACGATTCTCACGCCATCTTGCCCTGTAAATAAAAATTATTAAATTATAAATTATTACATGAATATATATTACATTATTTATGCACTTATATACTTATATTTTGAGTTATAATGTTACATAAATTGTATTACGTATAAGATTCAAGGTATTAGATTACTTGAACGTTTTTAACCCTTTTGTTCCCCTTAATAGTACATTATAAATATGGTGTATAATCTCACTTGAAAAATGAGTTAATTACTTGTTAAAATCATTTTTTCTGGATTCATAACGAGGTTTGTACTTTTGGATGGCAAAAGTGATAAAGTCTGGAAATATTTTAAATTTCAAGAGTACGGCTTCAAGTTTACAGTAAACTTCTCGAAAAACTTTTGTGTATAAGCTGATCAGTTTCTATTAAATTTTTATATACCGAGTAATTATAGAAAAATTTCATAGTAATTAAAGAAAGATTATATTTTTCTAAAAACTATGTAAATTGAATGTCGGAACTCGGTGAAATTTCCGGTAACAAAAATGGGGACTTAATTATCGCTTTTATAATCCATGTTTTTTTAATGTGATCACGGATGGGTTAAAGTAAATGGAGTATAGCTTTATTAATTTTATTTTGTAATTGGTAAATATATTATTCATGCAATGCCAATTCTTATTGATGAACCGGCTGCAATAGGAAAATTTTTTTACGGGTTAAGCTAAATTATAGAAATCTGCTAACAATCCAAAAGTTAATGAAGCAAGGACTTAAATTACGACCTTCCGCACATCGAAAAAAACCCAAAAAAACTATTTTTAAGTGCCTGGGTTTGTGCAATACTACTTTAGCCCATTGTCAACTTGAATGACAATTTACTCGTAAGTTTAAGTTTCTCTCATGAATTTCATTATTTATGAAACTATTATTCTCAAATTCAATTAAATAACACACCTTTAACAGAAAATCCGAAGTTAAATTTTTACCAGTCTTTCGAAGTTAAATTTTAGCGGTCTAGTTGCTAGCGGGCTCATTTTTCATCTTTAATCAAAATTAGTATATAACACATAAAATTTATATTTTAAACTATGAATAATGTCCTCGGCCATATTCTGACAGACTGATAGAAATTTTATTTGATTTTCTTTCGAAGTTTTCTTTTTATATTTATGTTATTAATTTTAATTGCAAAAAATTTATTTGACATTCTAATTACTTTATACGAACAAAGAAAATATTATTTCAGTCCTTTGTTTTGTGAATTGAACTTTTTATTTACAATTTTTTGCAATTTTTTGTTTAACAACAAAATGCTATGAAAAATTAAAATCACAATTGGTTTTAGTAAAATAATTTTAAAAGTATTTTTCTGTAATAAACTTGTGGATCTGAAGGGAGTCGGTGTATAAGACGAATATGCATACACATATGTACAAGAATTTCGAAAATTATTGGAATTTAATAAAATATTAGGAAACAATGGTACGAAACAAGTTCAAAGTGACTATGTTTTTGGAACTTAAGGTTCTAAATGAACCGGTATAGTCGAATATTTAGCTTTCTTAAGTTATTTAATAGTTTTGGTTATCTGTAATCTTTTCAGATATTCTTCATTTGGGAGTATTTCGAACTTTAAAACTCACCAAAATGTGATTTAATTTGAATTTGAGAAATTTAAATATTAAGGTCACAATATTGTTCTAAAATCCTATTTGGTTTTAAAGTTTTAAAAATGACTTAATCATTATTATTTCGAATATTGTTTTTTAATTATTATTATGGTAATTAAATTCTACAAAGCAATCGAATAATAATTTAAATATTTATTGAAATTCTATAATTTATTTTTTAAATTTTAATGTAATTATAAAAACATGAGAATTGTATCCTCTTCTGCCCAATTCATTTATAGTTTGTAATTAAAATTATTATAGTTTACAATAAAAGTTATAATAAAAATTAAAATTCTAATATTGGTTAAATTTTTAATGGGTTCTTTTAATTTTGTACATATGTATGTATGTATAATAGAGATTTGGTTCAGTAAAAATAATGAATTACTTCTCTTAATAAAGCCAATAGTTTAATATTTAAAACTTATTAAAATTTTAATATTTAATATTTATATATTAAAATCAATATATCAGATATTTTTTGGTCAGAATAATTACAATTATAGGTTCAGTGGTCTTTTATTATTTGTAAATAGAAAATCGAAATGAATAGAAAACTATTTTAAAAAAATTAATTTTTTACCATCATATTGAATTTTAATAAATCTTATCTACTTATTTTGCAATTTAGAATATTGTATTGTACTTACAATATAATATTTCTACAGGATGTTTCGCAAGAGGTCAAAAATAATTTCAGGTGTGATTCTTTGAGGTGGTGGGGGTTGCAGATATACTCGTTTTCGAGCTATAGCATGTTGAAAAAAAAGGGTACCAGACTTTTCTTGCAAATAAATAAAAGCTTATAACTTCGAAACCAAACAACATATAGTCATCATAAGGAGCTTGTCCTACAGGTGATTGAATGTTCTTTATTCTTAATCTTATAATTAATTTGAGTTGAACCATCTAAGTTTTCAAGTACAGTTCGTCAAAATTTAAATTTTTTTTTACAAAACTCAAAATTTCTCGAAAATTTTTGTTATTATTTTCCTTTTTTTTGTTTTTCAAAAGTTAACCCATAAAATATTTTCTTTTATTTATCACCGTTTTTCCAGTATGGAAATTCCAATCCAGTAGAGAAATTGATCGAAGAATCATCCCTGAAATTCCCTATGCGAAACACCCTGTATATCTGTAGTTATTTTTAAAAAAATTGAGAATATTTACCTAAAAAGTTCATTAAATGCAAATTAATTTTAAATATTTGAGTTGTACACAACACAACAAATTTTTAAAGTACACGTCGAATTTTAAAAAAAATTCCTATTCAGTAGAAATTTTAATTCATAATTTCTACATTTTATAAACAGTCTCTTTTATGATCCTGTTTTTCAGTGCGTTCTGTATGCATTTAATTCACATAGTATATATTTTGGTTTTTAAATATGGATGAAAAAATATTCAACTATGCAAAGTTTTTTTGTAAGAATCATTGTGGTTTTTTACTAGGATTGAAAAGTAACCCTCTGGTGGTCTTTTTAAATGTGGATTGCATCTATAGTATATTATATGAGATACTTAACCTGAGTTCACTCTTATTTTATTACAATGCATTTTGGTATTTTCATGTATACGTATGTGTAAGTGGGCTTATTATGTATGAATCATAAAAAAAATTGTTTTGGGAAAAATGCAAAAAAAAAAAATTTTGTTGTGGTTTTAGATTAGATTTAGATTAGAAATTTAATGTGGTTTTAATGCATATGGTTTTTGTGTGAAAATGTTTAAAAGTTTATTATTATTTTGTAAAATTTACTTTTAGAAAATAAGAAGAGCAAAAATTGAAGAGAATTTACAAAACAGATTTTACAGAGGCATTTACTTATATTGGGTCATATGTGCGATTCTGTGAAATTCCGACACGTTTCAGACAGTGAAATATTATGTTAAAATGTAAAAAAATTTAGAATTTGTAAATAATTTGCAATCAAATGTTACAGTCAGCTTTCGTTAAGTACTTTACTTTAATTTAATGAAACTCTATAAAATTTTTATGTATTGTCAATTTTTACAAGGAAAACTGCATAATTACATGCGTAAAAAAAATATTTTATACATAACAGTACAAATATTTAATTGCACAATGGTAATATCTAATTAAAGTCTAAAAAATAGAACAAGAAATGAAATAAAATTTTATGACAACACACTAATTTTGCATAACTTTAGGCTATCATGTTAAAAATAACTTAGCATTTTACAAGACATACTCGAGACAATTATTATTGTAATTAAAGTTATTTTTAGGATTTTTATTTTTTACAAAATAAAATAAAATTTTGAAGATTAAAGAATTTAAATTTAAATTTTATATGGTAAAAATTTTATAGGAAAATTGTAAAATGTTGGTTGCGTTCTAGTTTTGTGTCGTCAAAATTTAAATTAATTTTATTCAAAATATCCTTGAGAAATATATTCCTAATACTAGTAGATTGTAATTTATGAAGTTACACTACGTATTTAGTGTTAATTTTGTTTGAATTACGTGTTTGAATGGGTCAAATATACATGTACTGACATCGTCAAGTGGAAGTTCCATTTACTTCAAATTTCTAATAATTTTGAAATTTTTAAATATTCCAAACGGCACTATAAATAACTCAATTTTTGCTCTTTGAATAAAAGATATGATAGATTTCATATTTAGAAGGACTGCACTTTGGTCCTTTTTGTTAGAAATATTTTTTGTAACTAACATTCATTTAACCCTTTCTGTATTCTTGCAAAATGAAAATATTTTTGTCTCATTTTGTTATTTTTTTCTGCATATATTTTAGTTTTTCATTAAATTAAATCGGGATCCATTTATCATAGTAGATATTCAATATATCTATATATATATATATAAATCAAAATTATAATTCGTTCATCATCATCATTATCATTGTTATTCAGTATAAAAATATAATCTTTCAATAGAAATACCATATGTGAAAATATTAAACTGAAAAGGATATAAAGGAATCATTTCCCATATACGAGTATAACCAAAAAATCATTACTCAAACGAGAAAGCCTTGAGGGGTAGTTAAAAAGAAAACTTATATAATATACGAAAATTCTCACCTTCCTTGGTGTTTTTTTTTTTTATTTAAAAGAAAACCCCATTATGTAAATCAACTGTATATAAGAAAGGTAAATCTTATATTAATTTTATCAAAAGGATTTTTTTTGCTGAGTAATTTTGAATATCTACAGGTTGTCATTATCATTATTAGTTACTGTTTTGAATTCGGTCTCAAACCATTACAGTTCTCGCGGTATAGGAATTTCATTAATTGAAGTTTGCCTGCCCGTGTTTGTCTGTTGATAACTTCCTTTCTAAGAAAAAATAAAAGTTTCAATTAAAAATTATCGGGAAGGATTAACAAATACTCTGAAATTCAACATTTTCGTTTCTTTTCCTTTCCGGTATCGTTCGTTAATAAAATGATGAAAGGTACATCTAGTTTTGGTAAGAGGCATAATAAAACACATACCCTGTGTAGGAGATGTGGCCGTTCATCGTACCATATTCAAAAATCACAATGTTCCAGATGTGGTTACCCATCAGGTAAATTACGATCATATAATTGGTTAATCAAAGCCAAAAGGAGGAAGACCACTGGAACTGGTCGTATGCGTTATTTAAAAGTTGTAAGACGGCGTTTTAGGAATGGAAACTACCTAAGTTAAATAGTTTGGCATGCAAAATAACGAATATATTGCCCTACTTGCTTATATGCTTTTGGAATAACGGACTAATTGTTTTTGGAAAAATTCATTTCCAATCCGTTTCCCTTTATTAATCCTCTCAGAAACTTTTTGTTTGAAACATCTATTATTCGTGGAAAGGAAGTCATAAGCAAATAGAGACGGTCAGGTAAGATTCTGTAAAATTTTTCAAAAACCGGTAATATTAATGATTCACTCTGTACTTAAACTTGTACATGAATGTACGTTAAAGAAATCATTGTGCATTGCTTTATGTTATTCTTAAAGCTTATTTATTTGGAGCCTGTCTAAGTATTAGCATGTATTATAGAGTTCATTCATATGTATATTTATAAGTATTATGCAGAATGAGGAGAACTAAAAATAACTTAAGTACCAATCAACCAACAACAAAAGCATAACTTTTTTATCCCATCCAAAAATTATGAGCAAAAATTGTTTTTCTTTCTGTGTTGTGGAGAGCCTCATTCAACTAATAAAAAATAATTTTTCGATTTTATCAAGTCAACCATTTAAAAAGATTTTAGTATACGATATTATAATAAAAACGACTTCCTCCATCTGTTAGTGAATTTAAAAAACAATAAAAAGAAAGCAAAAATAAAATAAAATAGAAAAAAAAAATTCTTTTTCCACAATGTTTTGCGGTATGTTAACAGATTGTTTTTTTCGGAAAATCTTAAGCATCTTTGGCAAAAATGGCAAAAAAATAAAAATAAGTACTTAATGAAGTATTAAAATTGTATTCCCACCACCGCAAACTTCTGTTGTGTCCAATAAAAAGACATAAATAACAAGGAAAAAGGACATTTTGTTAGCATATGTAACGTGTATATTTTGTGATTTTTTATGATGCGACTAGCTATAGCTTATAATTTTGTTAGAACTTTTGGCTATTAACAAGTTTCTTTTTTACTTTCTTTTTTGAAAATTTTGTTTTTAAATTTAATCAGTTTTATATTATGGTTGTGTTGCCTTATCGATTGAATTCTTTAAAAGGATTTTGTACACATATTATAAATTGGTCACTTATGAATTAGGATATTGATGCGCCTATTAAATCTAGGATATTGTTGAATATCATTCATTGAAATAAATGTAAGGTAGAGAGAGAGAAAGAAAGACACAGAGAAAAAGGGTTCTTATCTTTATGCCAAATTAGTAAGTCTTTAATCAAATCATTGTGTATGATGAAAAACTAATAAAAAATAATAAAGAACAACTAAGATAAATAGCATGGTATGACAATAAAAAAAATATTCTGAAGATTTTTTAGAAAATATTCTTAAACCGCAAAAAAGGATTGAAAATATTGCAAGAATTTAATGGATTTTTGTTTTACGTTTTAGTTTATTTTAAAAGTTTTAGAAATAAAGGCAATTTTATTTAAATAATATAGAAAATAATATAGAAACTGGCTTTGCTTCAATATTATAAAGAAAATACTATATGCAGTTCACAATAGACTCTTCATACCTTGTTTATTTACAAAATTTCAAAATTATTTTGTAAATATCAAAATTTACGAAATCTCATTTTGTTACTCTTAGAGAAAAGAGAAAATATCGCAAATTATCGTTTTTATTATCTCCAACAAATTCCCACTGATTTTAAACTTAATTTTCTCTTGAAATGTTATACAGTGCGGAAATTGAAAATTAACAGCTTCTGGTTGCTACACAACACTAAAAACATTTAAAATATCTCTAAATCTATCTCTACTCTCGATTGAAAATTACATGGTAAAGAACTAATTCTGAATCAAGGTTCTTCTTTTGCTGTTGTGGCAGTATTTAACTTCTATTTTATCAGTGCTATAGCAGCAAAACGAGATTCCTTCTCTGGTAGTAACTTTTACATGATACACTTTTAAGTTTTTTTCAAGAAGTGAGAGCAAAACCGTAAGAAACAAATATGTTGAAAATTTTATTAAAATTAAAATTAATTTAATTAATTTTAAACTTATGTCTAAAGGAATTACTAGGTATTTAATTAATTTATTTGATTTTATTATCCTGTGAATTTATTTCCAACATATTGCTTTTATAATTACATAGTATTTAGAAAATATTTTCAAATAAAAATATTTACTTAAAATGAGTAGAGTTTATTATATGTAATCAATTTATTTTAAGTTTTTGTGTAAAAAATATGTAAGTACATACAATGTCACATGTATTTTAAATTGTATTTGATTCAAGTACATTGTAAGTTTTTGTAAAATATTTATGTAAAAAAGATTTAAGTGTCATATAGATATTGAAATTGATTTCATGATAGAAAATTTTGCTCATAGGCCATATTGTATTGTAAAAGATATCCTTAGGTAAGATTTTATTATTATTTGTTAGATCGTAAATTATTCATTGAATTCATTGGATATAAATATTCATATATAAATACAATATTATAACTTATTACTATATACATATATGAATATTATTAGAATTAGAAAATAAAATTTTTCATTTCTTTATTTTTGTATTATACAGAAGAGACATATTACGTTATATAATCTCACAATTTTGTTAAATAATTCTAATATTTTAGAAAATATTTAGAAAAAATAAAATTTGTGGTTTCTTCAAATTCAATATTCTTTCAAATAAGAACAATTGTTTTCCAAGCATAAAGGATTTATTCAATTTTATGTAATCAGTGAATCTCAACATTTTTAAATTGATAAACGGCATCAACTGAATTGCTATTGGTATATAACATAAAACCTGATTTATATTACGTAAAAAATAAAATATCATGACGTAATTTGAGTATCAAAATATTGAGGTACGTATATTTTGTTATGGTTTTTCATTTCTCTCGTAAGTCCCATAATAAAATTTTTATATGTTATTTTTCTAGACTAATGTTGTCGTATAGAAAATACTTTGGAAGCCAATTTATATTTTATTGTAGCCAATATTTAATTTAAGATTTTTTTATTGAATAAAATCGATTTTTTTCAATTAAACTATCAAATTATTTTTAGTTTCTTTAAAAAGAAAATTTCCTTCCCCTTTCTATTTTCCAAATAAATAGTCTAATGTTACAAAATAATTATTGTTCTTCATTGAAACTTAAAGAAAATATAGGAAGAATGGAATAAGAAGTCAAATAATAAATTCTTTTGTTGGTCCTTGTCATTTCGTTTGTCCTTATATATATATATATATAACGTGTAGTAAATGAATTTAATTATTCATTTTAAATTTATTTTTTGGAAAAAAATTTCTTTATCATTTTGATTTTTGGTATTGTTTACTTATAATGAAAGTAATATTGATTTTATAACACCAAGGTTAAAATAAAATAAATGAAAAATACTTTAAATAGAATAATTATTTAATTTTGTTTTTTTTTTTTTATTGCGGTCAGACTATTGGTCAAATTTCACAAAATTTTGAAAAATATTTGAGTTCATTCATCATTGTGTTTATTGATGATATCGAATAGATTTTCTAACTTTATATAAAAGTGTTGGGAATTGTTGGAAACTATCAAGAAAATCGTGTGTATAAATTTTTTTAATTTCAAATTTAAATTAATTTAAAAATTTAAAGTAAAATACAAAAGAATAAAATTAAAATAATAATAAGCTTTATTAAAATTGTAATAAAATTATAAAAACAAAAAATTAAACAAAATTTTTTAAAATATTTTAAAAATTTTCATTTTCATTTACAAAAATAAAATATCAAAATTAATCAAAACCAATGTAACATGAGAAAATCAAAAAATTGTCCTTAGATCAGGCCATCTCAATGTTATTTTGACGTTTACGTTTAGATCTAAAAAAAAGTTTTATAAGAATTCTTACCAATTAAAAGCTTTTTAAAAATTTTAAGATATAAAAATCAACTATGTAAGGCAATTATACTTTTAAAAACACAATATTAATTTATTCGTCATCATGGATTGTGATAATTTTAATTAAAAAATTAAATTAAAAATGAATATTAATTAAATTGGTTAATACTTACTGACTGAATAATCTGAGTACAACGCATATGATAATAAACATTAGAGCCATACCAACTAGGACACCAATCATAGCAGGATCAATTGAATGAACTTCACGGACTTTTGGTTGTTTAGCTTCAAAAATTAAATTCAATTAAAAATTCATAAAAAAATTAAGTGCAATAATGTTATAGTTCCTTAATATTTACCTCCACATTCAAAATTTCCATTATTGTAAACAGGTTGTAAATCAAATTTACAAATGCATCGTCCATCACGACATTCCGTTTTGAAATGGAAAGCTTCACATTCTTCATTAAAATTGCATGATTCATTATGAGATGCAACTGAAAAATTAAAAAAAAAAATGTTGATGTTTATTTTAAATAGAATAAAATAATTTAATAAATTCATAAAATTAATCCGCAAAACAGGTTGGATTGCTAAGCGGAATACATTTTTTTTAGTTGTAGTCATATAAGAACTGTGAAATTTCAACTTTAACTGTTCAAGTTCATAGTTTCATTCGTACGTACAACATTCGGAAACAAAAAGAGCAAAAATTTTTTATTACGACATCCATAATTTCAACTTCGGTGACAAAATTATATTTGCAGATTTTGCATCTCATATCGAAATTACCATCAAATATTCAGAGAAAATTTTACCATCAAACATTTAGATTTTGTATCAATTTGATCGGACCCAAACATTTTATAATAAGTTAATTTTTTCTTAAAAATATTGTTTATTTGTAGGTCCTTTATCTTTGGTCCCAATATTGTAAGTTCACAAAACATAAAAATTACTCAATGTTTTTATTTTTCCTCTACACCGCAACAATAACCTTTCGCATTGATTTTTATAAGGTTTACATACGTATGTATGTTTGTGCATTTTCATTATATTGTAATAGCTGCAGGACCTACATATTTTATCTATATAATGTATAATAAATACTCTCCTTAAAGATTATAATATTATATATACAGGGTAATTTCTTTTATAAATACATAAATGAAAAATTTGCTATTATTTAAATTTAATAGTAAATGTTTTGAAAATGTATGACTCATCATAGTAGTTGCATAAGTATTTGTATAAAAATGCCGCAAAGAATAAAAATTGAAAAATTATAAGCAAGAAATTTTAAAGAGAATAATATTAAGTTATTAGAAGAATAAAATGAAAAGGGAGAGAATTCATAATAAGAGAAATTTAACGAAATATCTCTTAAATAAATTGATGATTGCTGAGAACAGTATTTATTGTGAATATTTATCGATATGCATATGAGAATGAGATATAAGATATTTATATTAAAGAGTACGAGTACATTAGTGCCTAGTATTTTTTTTTTGCATAAGCATTAAGTACTATTAATTTATAACAAAAATTTGAGAATATTGAAGTTGACATGCATTTACAATATGCAAGTTCCTAATTATTTCTATATGTGACAATATTGATTTATTTGTTACATTACACATGAAATAGTTTCCTTTAATGTGGAATTAACCATATAAAATTTGTTACGAATGAAAAATGTTTTAAATCTATGCATACTTTTCTTCTTATTTTCGTCAAATTCTCTTCATTTTAGCTGTCGGTTGAATTTGTATTTCTCCCAAATGAAAATTATTATGGCTGCGTATATAATTTTGAATGTGTTAGTGCAATATAATTTCAGAAATTCCGTATACAATCTTATTATGAATGAGATTGTATGCATGTATGGCGTAATGTGAAATTTTTTTTAAGGTTATAATCAATACTCTTAATATAAATGACACTTAGTCAAGCTAGACTATTCATAGTAATTATTGAATATTCGAACGGTTACCAGCGGATATTATCGCTTTGTTTTTTTTTTGTGAATAAGTGAATTATTAATTACAAAAAATAAATAAATTCAAAATGGTATATTTATAATTTATTATTTAGTAAAATTAAAATCGATAAATGATGTTAATTAAAATGAAAAAAAAAAAAAATTGAAAGTTCAAAATCAAATTTTCATAAGAAATAATTTTTTTTGTTTTTAGAATCCACCATTTTTATTTCAATTGCCACAACAATTAGCACCTGGAAATTCAATAAGAATTAGAGCATTTATTCCACCTAATGGTGATAGGTATGCTTAAAATATTATTTATTTTTTTTTCTAACTTATATTTAGTATAATGTAATTGTCATGTTACTGGATTTGCCTGCTTTATTACATTTGAGTTGGTTTCATAATATTGTCGGTATACTTTTTTTTCTGATTTTGGTTATGTTTGTGTCGGTATAGTGAAATTGACGTTTGGATAGTAAATAAAACATAAAGTAATAGCAAATAAAATTCGAATGTATGTAATTGTTGTGACATAAATATTAGTTTTATTAACTACTAACTGTGATGATAATACATTGGTATTTTTGCAACAAATTATTTTGATGCAAGTGTATTTTTCAAATCTATGTCATACAACATTTTTTAACATTAGTAATATGCAAGACTTTTTATTAGATTAATCTAAACAGAAACATAACCAGAAATATGAACTTAAAGTATAATTACTACTGATAGTTGCTCTGAATCTAAAGTCATTCCAATTCTAGTCATAAAAATTGTTTAAATACCTTTATATATTGTCACATAACAAGAATTTTACAAAATAAACTAGGTATACTACAATGTGTCAGATGTGGCATTATTTAATAATATTCAATTGAAAAATTTACAAAATTATTTTTATATTATTTATATTCAATGGGATGGGTGCGGTGCGTCTATGGTACCTCAATGTCTGTGAAATTTATAGATTATGATTTTTAAAAATTTTAGTTAAGGAAACAGTCTATTATTCAAAACTATTACTTACCTACGTAAGTATATTGTAAGTTTCTATTTACCCAGTGGGAAATTTTGTCATTACATTAATAACTAGTCACATATGTATGTGGCAACAAAGGTTTGGTTTTGAGAAATTTAGGTATGTAATTTTTTGTTGTGGTCAACAATATTAATTGCTATGTAATGTAAAATAAATCGATGAGGAAATCGGTGGTTAATATTCAATTAAATTTATGATTCTTTCAAAATAATTTTTTATAATATCATAAAAAATTCCATAATATAATAATCATAACTGATAAATGAAAACGAGTTTATTTTATTATTAAATATTAATTAGTATTGATATTGCTATAAGAAGTCTGTTTTTTTTTTTTGAAAATATTAAGAATTACCAGCTACATATATAAGTATATATATATTTAAGTGGATTTTGTTTATTATACCATTATAATTATGACTTATGAAAATAAGAAAAATAAAAATTAATATTTCGACTGTACCTATTTTATACCAGTAATTTCTAGAGTGTGATTCATTTTAAAGTCCAATAATGAAATAAATTTTGATAGCAGCTATTTAAAATGAAAAGCTTTTATATACAATGTATAACATATATGTATATATGTATTTAATTTTCAAGATGATATCTCGTGATTTAGTTATAAATTTTAAAAAAAAAAAAATTTTGTTTATTTTATAAATTATATAAATTTATTAAAGAACAATGTTTACTTTTTAACACTTTGATACCTATATCCCTCTATTTATTGGTATGGGTATGTAATTTATACATGGGTATATTAGTATCACACATATAGAGAGTCAGTATAAATATGAAAAAATAATACGAAAAATTAAGATTTTGTTGGAATGACATCATAATGGATAATGTTTTTTTTTTAGTTTTATAAATATCACCGAATAAAGTGTAAATTTTACAAATTACAATGTATATACACAGAATATACATAATATATATTTTCAGTAGAGCAGCACATGTAAATTAATCAATATTTTGTATATAAACGACATCTATATACAGCATTATTTACATGCCCTATAATACTTCTTATATGTTATAAATAATATTTATTAGCAAACAGCAAAACAAAATTTGCAAGTAAATTTGCTAACGCAAATGTATTATTAATGTTATTGCTTCAAATTGTTTCTACAATGCAGTAAGCTACATAACTACGTAACTTTAATATAACAGCCTTATTATTTTGTATAGGAATTTTTTGTTATGGCATTTATGCGAATAATACAAAACAATATGAATTTCTCTTAAATTTTTAAATTTCTCGTTTTACAATTGGTTTCTCTTTTATTTAAATTTTCGTTAAAATTTCTTTAAGTACGTTCAATATGTTCATCGTATGTATATACGTTTATGTAAAACATGTATCGTATAATTCTGTAGTTTTTTTTTATATACATTAAATGCATGTGTAAATATAAAAATTATTTTGTGTCGCAGACGTATAGGGGAAATTATTTTTAACAAATCAGAATTTATAATAATAAATTGAATGAATAACGTAGCTAATTACGATAAGAAAAATTCCTATATTTTAAATTTATTTATTTTCTTGGAATTAATTTCAAATTACCACGTATGGAAAATGCATTTAGTTATTATGTACATACATATACATATGTATTTATAATTTTAAGTAATATAAATATTGTAATGAAGCCTGTGTTTAATTCATGCTTAATGCATTTAATATGTATACTATTATGTGTTTGTCATATGCTCGTATACGTATAATTTACTATTCGTGATTCATTTCGGTATTTTTATAGAATTTTAGTACATTATGTATGTAAATATGTAATTTAAATGTTTTAAGGTTAATGCAGTTTTTAGTTATAGAATTTATTTTCATTTATTTTTTAAAATTTAACATCTATACGTAATACATAATCGTGTACATAGTACTGCTTAATTTATGTATATATTATTGTGTACATAAAGTAGTTTAAATGATTTAATGTTGACTATAAATTATTTTCTTAAAAACGTTTTTTCTTTAGTGAAGAATTGATGACGCAGTTTTGTATTACATACACACTTTCATGTTTCCATATAATATGCAAATTGCAAATTGATGAATCATATGAACCTATTTTAGTTGGTATTTTAAATATTATGATCGAGTAACGATGGCAACAATACAGAAAAATATTCTAAATATTCTAAATTACTAATTATAAAAACATAAATTTGAAGTATATTCCAAATTATGTTAATGAAATTCCGAATTTAGTTGTGTACATCCCTGGTTATTTATGTTGAAATTTTATTTAGTGTCAATTGCTCTGCAACTGAAAATTTTTCTTGGCAGGAAGAAATATATTTTTCCATAGGTATAAAATTGGATGATGTTATTGGGTATCTGAGTAAAAATTTTATAGTAAAATGCAAATAATGATCTAATTTTTCGAAGAAAATTACAGAAAATAATAGCCAATTAGTTAACTTAAATAAATATCTACTATACATCAAAAACTTCATTATATATAAAGAACTAGTAGGATGAAATTTCTGTTCGAATATAGAGAAAGTTGTTTATATCTACAAATTATAAGTACGGCCCCTTTTATTTATAATTTTATTTTAATATTGAATTAATAATTATTATATTTATTTTAACTTTTTTTTTTCAGAGCTACAATAAATTTACAAAAAGGATCAACTGTTAATCCTGATTATGAAGATGATGAAATTCCACTACATGTTGATATTAGACAAGAAGGTGAAATTGTAAGAAATGATTTTTCACGTAATGAAGGTGGCTGGGGTGAAGAAGAAGTATCACAAAATCCAATACAATTTGGTACTGAATTCGAAATGGAAATATATGTAAGAGATTCAGCATTTTCAATTGCAATAAATGGAAATCATTATTGTGATTTTGAATTTCGGCAAGCATTAGAGGATATTCATTTTATTTATGTATTCCGTGATGCTCAAGTTGTATATTGTATGTTAAATGGTAATCCTCTTAGAAATTAATAATGTTATAAAATTAATTAACATAATATAAAATACAATTATATTGAATTAAAATAATAAGATCAAATATTTTCAAAATGCATAAATAAAATTAAATAATAATTATATTGAGAAATTAAATTCACACAAGAAAATAAAAACAAAAAAAAATTGTATTTTGCTAAAGACTTTCAAATTAAATGGAACAAAAGCTATGAACGTACACACATTTTCATACAATAATATTATGTATGTTTGCGTAAATTAAATAAATAATATTTATAATGCACTTAAAGTTTTCATTAATGTTTTTGTTTTAAATTTTTTTATTGTCAATAGATTTTTAATATATTTTAATTGCTTAATTCGAATTCATATGTGTATTTTTAAAATAAAATTAAAATCTATATAGTTATTTAAAGTTAAAAATTTCTAGCTGTTAAAATGAAAAGCGTTTACTCTACAAAACTGTTTGAAAAATAGCTATAAAATTTAATTAGAAATTTGTTAAAAAAGAAAAAATTGAAAAATTGTTGTTTTATAAATTTTAATTTATTGTTTCCGTACATTATAATTTTTGAATTTTACTTGAAATATATTTAAAATTATAACTGTTTCATATTAGATCTTTTATTAAATATTCACTATCTAAAAGGAATGCATTTGGCAGGAAATAATGCTAAAAATTGTAATAATTAATTTATATTCTAAAAAATCGCTCTTCACTACTGATCTGATTTCTGTTAAAATATAGAGACCGTCCGAATTTTTCATTTCAACTCAGAAATATTAAACACATTTTTTACAAACTTTTGATATTAATATGTTTTCGGAACCTTCTAAATCATTACCAAATAAATGTATCACAATATATTTACATTATTAAACTAATCTAGTCCTAAATATATGCAATTTTTATATAAATTCTTTTTTGACCACATCTAAATTCAGTAGGTATCTGTAATTTATTTTTTAATCTCCTATACTTCCCAAATAATAATCAATTACTTTTGATTGATTGAACTCATTAAAATTTGACAATATTAAGAAAAGTGAAAAAGAAAATCACGGTCAACTTAATTAAATTGTAAAAGAAGCAACCACAACAAAATGAAAATAACTGATTCGAAATTCTATGAACAAAAGGGTATGTGATATGAAAAATCAATGAATCTTTTATAAAATTTATATAAGTTTTTCATTCTTCATACCACTCCTACACCATTTCTGCGTATTGAAAGCTTTTTTTAAATATTTAACAAAGGATCTTTTTATGGTTAACATTTTCGTGTAAATGTTTTTGGCGTCAAAATTCTTTTTATTCCTGTTCACTTGTTATGAATTGACTAAGTGAATAAAGCTTCAAAAAAAAATGAAATAATAATGTTGGTGCACGTGGGAATGGAAGGATATTAAAAATATTTTGTATATTTACAATAAATAATAATATTTGTGGATATTGCTGTTCTATATTAAATATTTAAAAATTTTTGTATAGGTATGCACTTCATTTCTAAATGAATTCAGGTTAAAACAATATTATTCTTTTAATTACTTAAATAAGTCAGAACCAATGAATTTGTGTATTATTTTCTTAAAGAACTAACACCGATAAAGAATTTCAATGTTACTTTTCACAAACGCAACAAAAATTTTCGTCAATCATGTGCATGTCAATTATTCTGTAGTCTTAATATGAGACAAAATTGCTGGCACGTGATATTAGAAGAATTCATTGATCTCGTAAATGGAAAAGGGAAAAACAAAACAAATTAGGCATTTTAACAAAATATTTATATATAATATTTATTTTGAAATGTCTTTTATTAATGAATTTTACTATTACCAAATTTTTATCCTTAAATTTAAAAGTTCTCCACAATTTTATATTGTACGCACAATAAAAATTTTCAATGAAAATCTTAAAGTTTTCCCAAAACACAGCATTTAATCATAATGTGAAATTGGAAGAACTTACTTAATTTTCTATATACAAGTAAATGAAATACAATTCTTTACTATAGGATACTTTTTCTATAGTTGAACTACCTACGTACATAATTTATAATACTTTATAATGGAGACACATACACACAATGCATAATATTAAAATATATGATCATATTATATAAAAACTAGGAATCATGCTGTCGCCTATTTAATTGATTTCTTCTGTTTTCATAAATTTTCACATTTTTATCCTTTTGTCATTTGTTTTTCTCATATATGTCCTGTTTTATTTTATATATTTATATATATTTTTCTTGTATTATTTGTTTAAACGGATACATCTGAACGACGACAAAATATGATTACATAGTTCAGTAGAATAGGCGTATGAAATGTTAAAATAAAAGAATAATAAAAATAAGGAAAGAAAAAATTATAAGAAAAAAAAAGGATAATATTTAATGTAAAAGAAGAAAATAATAATAAAAAATAATCGTGATATAATGTTACGATAATTTTATAAAGATTATAAAATGCAAACATGGAATTTGTTTCGATAAAATTGGATTCTGGGAAATTTTATTAAAAATAATTTTTGAATTTCAAGTTAAGCAATTACATTTATTTATACGTGTGTGTGTATATAATGAAAAAAATGTGAATGTACAAATAGAACCATGCTGGAAATGGCGGCAGTAATGGTAAATTTTGCTGTACCAAAATAAATATTAATGCGGTGGCGTTAGTGAAGCTTTGGTATCCCGCTGAGAATAATTTTAATTTATAATTTTATCGCTGCCCCTTTGTAATTGATTTGTTTTTTCTCTTTTTATTTTTCTCTCTGTTTTTGTTGTGGCTCTCTGTTTATTGTCAAAATTATTGATGTATAGAACTATGAACGCGAAGAATAAGCTATCCATGACGTTACACACTTTAGAGTTCAACTAGATTTAACTGTATCTAGACATAAGTCAATTTTCAGAATTATTGATGTTGTGCTGAAATAAAATTTTTGTCTTCAACAATAAATTATTGCCAACATATTTCATACACTATATAGACTTCATATACCATGATATATCATGGAAAAGCCATTTTCGGGCGGTTTATTTATTTCAGTGGTGTTTATATAATAGAGCTGTACTGAGAAAATAAATTTATAAAATTAAAATTATGGAGACCAGTGTGCCTGTCTGCATAGTAAAATCTTCCTACGCATTTAATAATTAAACTCTTTTAAGAGGCGGAGTTCAACATAGTCTATTAAGTTGGTCGTACAATCTGAATATTTCTTTAAATATGTTTTATTGCTCTATACAGTTTTTATTTCAATAATAAAATTGTAATCATAATTCGTAGTACAAGTACAATATTACCATACTTCAGTTTTTTTTTTCAAAAAAGAAAATTAAGAATAAAGTAATAAAATATTTTTTTTCCGCCTTGTACTCATTGTGTCTCATCGTCATATACATTTTGGTTTTTTGTGATTTTCAGATCAGTAAATATTTAAAATTTTGTTGTAATAAAATATTTCCATCCTTTATTTATTATTAAATAAGTGAAAATGTTTGTTCATGGTTCATTCATTTCTTGTTTTTCCTCTTTAATTTTTTGATTAAATAAAAATATACTCAACAGATGGCATTATTTGTATGATATAAAAGAAAAAATAAAAATTGAAAATTAATAAAGTGATTTCAACATTAAATATGAAAACATTAAAAAAATTTGTAGTTAGCAAAAAAGCATTTTAAAAAATCTTAAATTAAAAATTCGTATAAGGGAAATGTACATTTATTGGCTATTATTTTATGTCATGATAATTTTACTCTACAAATGAATGGTCAATAATAATTGTTTAAAAATAGTTTGTGACAATCTAAAGTCTTCGAATCTCAGTGAAAATAGGTGACTCTTGAGTGAGTTTTTACATGGTAAAAAATTCTCAGTATTTAGAGCTTTATTAATTCAACAATTTTGAATAAAAAAGTATTCAGAGCTTTATGAATGCAACAATTTGGATTTTATAACAATGCTATAAAGGCTTACCGTTATTATTTTCATATTTTAGAAATCAAAATTAAAAGAATTATAAAAGGAAAGTATTTTGCCAGATTAAGTAATATAGATGCTATAATAATTAAATTAAATACAAGTAATACTCTTAATAAATACAATTTGCAACATGTCGTCAAACCATTAAATTAAATAGTTCATTTCATACATGAACTCCTTTTAATTTAATGTAAATATAATCCTTGTATTTGAATACGCAGCAAGTAGCATGTAAATTAAAATAAAAATCTTTTTAAAATTCATAATTGTATAAAAAAATTTTTTTATTATAATTTAGTCTAGACAAAATATTTGTTGCTATATTTATTTAATTGCTATGAGAATATATGCAAGCATACTAGCTATTTGGAGATTTCTAAAACTATAAAACTTTTAAAATTAAAAAATTCAAATTATTGTACTTTTGATAGTTTCGAAAAAATTACATATACAATCATACTCATGTATGTTTTTGTATGAAAATCAAGTTTAATTTAAAAAATTATTTTGTGTTTTATTTCATTTTTTAAAAGGATATTTAAATATTTTAAATTAAATTAATTGTTCAACTTTTGATTTGATATTAAAATTGTTTTTTATTGGCTTGAGGAAAATAATAAAAGTTTTTGTTTAAAATTTTATTCACTGACACTGTCAACCTTGCATGATCATACATTCTTTGTCGTGTATGGAATCTGTTTCCAATTTCTTAATAATGTGATAGATTTTATAATGAAAATCGTAGCTGATTACGAAATGATAAGTGGATTTCAAATTAAACTTTTTAAGGAAATTTGAAAATGTTAACGTGTTCCAGGGAAGTGAAGTTTCCAAGACTAAAAGGTATGCTAAGACTGTAAAATTTCTGTTTCTTTGTAGTGGAGAAAAAATTTTTAAATTACTTTTAGTTTCAATAGCTAATTTTAAAGCACTGTCAGTACGCCAATTGAATTCAATTATTTGTTATGAATAAAAGTGAACTTTAGCACAATATTTTAAAATTTTCCAAACTTTAGATGGATTTCTCTAAACTTTAGAAATTTAATATTATACAAACATTTTTTTACGCTACACAAATTCGAATTATAAATGCATTGTTGTGCTCTGCACCTTCGCGTAGGATACATTAACTTTGGTATGGAGTTTGTAACCACTTGAAGAAATCGTTTGCAGGATGAACATGTATATATTTTTGCTCAGCGTATAATTCTGCGTTGATTTAAACATGTCCATCCGTCAGTTCGTCTCATAGCACGATAACTCAAAAACGAAAAATGCAATCAATACCGAAATTTCACAAGTTGTTTCTTTTCTACCAAGGGTGGCTGCTATTGTGATTGCACCAATTCGGATAACAGATTCGGATAGTTGCCATACAACTTAAAAAGATGACTTTAAATACTCGGAAAAATAATCAGAATCAGAAGTCAGACGTGCATCTGTTAAGTTCCTACAGAATGGTTTTACAGGTTCAAATAATGGATAAACTCAGATTCTCAAGGTGCAAGGTATAATTCAGTCAGTTTATATCAAGTGAAACGTTTTTACTTGCTTCTTTTTTCATTTATTTCAATTATAAAATTTATTTTAAATTTAAAATTTATAATTTAG